AGTATTTTATATTGAATTTGGTATAGAACAATTTTTTACCACCGAGCAAGTGCCAAGGTGTTCTTATGGAACACCGCATCCTTACAGAGCTTGTTGCTTCCAGGAATTTAGTTATTAGTCTACTGGTAGTTGGTGAGGATTTCTTAAAGCATACCTGACCAGGCAACACTTGCTATCGAGTGTGATCCAAATGAGGATGACGAGGAGGTCCTTGAAATGTAACACAAAAGAAATGAAGTTACTCACCTTTGTCACAATTGAGCCAGGGCATGTAGAATAGTCACAGGGGTAGCCGAAACCCATCTGAGGAGGAGACACCTAGATCATGTAAATAGGGCAATATACAGGTGTTAGGTGTAGTCCACATACTAACATGTACAATTTCCTCCAGCAGGCAATGCAACTGAGCTGCCAGGGACATCAATATATGTCGAACTTGATGAGATGAGACCTGTAGATGTCTCCACTATTCCAATGAATGACCAGAGTAAGCTCCCCAAACCAACTGACGAATCCAACTGTCAAAGTGACAGGATTCCAATAGACAAATAACCAATGACATGAGCCCCAAAATACTTTAGTGTGTGCTACATAATATCAGCGAGTTTGAATAGAGCATAAAAAATGATCTGGATCCAAATGGTCATATAAATGGATAATGGAGGGAAAATGAGTAGGAAAGAAAGCCTCATTTCCTTTCCTTCACTAGCTGCTGCAGTTTTAGATAGAAAGGACCTATCTGGATATAACAGAATGTAGTTGGAATGGTACAGTGACCTGAACATGAAGCGTAAACACATCCGAACATCTATGCCCACTAGCAAATAACAGAAGAAAACATGTTTTAAGTGATAGGAGATATAGTGAACATGACCTCACAGGTTCAAAAGGTGTACATGTTAATGCATGGAAAACCACTGTGGTATCCCAACTACAAATCTGGAAAGCTTGATGAGGACAGATAACCTGAAATGATTTCAAAAGTAATGACAAAATCAGTGACTCAAAAACTTTTATTCTCTTAGAAAAAATGAAAAGTAGCTGATAAGTCAGCCTTATAAAAGGCAACAAATGAAAGTGTCAAACAACCATGTCAAGAATTGAAAGACATGTAGCACAGTGCAACACAAAAGGTTAAATATATGTCAGAGAGACCATTAATGATGAGTAAACCATTTCTTTAGATAAATTTCTAGGAGAAGAATGTCGATTGAAATGTGTTAATGAGGATGGCACTTGAGATGTAAATCTCTGATGTTGTGGGATGGACCACATAAAAGCCAGGTGTGAAGTTGAAGCATGCAAACTACTGGATGAAAAAATGTCTAACCGAGGCTGACATAAGAGAGATGGCCAGGGAGGAAGGGGAAGAGGTTGACATTCCTGAAAATACTGGACGAGTGGAAACCAGGGCTGACCCACCCAATATGATGCCACCAGAAGAACTCAACAGGACATGGAGTGAATCAGTGCCAGAACCTTGGAAAGCAGAAGGATAGGAGGGAACTTATAAAGATGAAGACCTGTCCAATCCTGGCTGAGAACATCTACTCCTAAAGCCAGAGGGTGAGGTACTGGAGACTAGAAGAATAGGAACTGAGCATTCCAGTGTGTGGCAAAAGCATCAATCTTTGGAGTCCCTAGACAAGAGCAGATCCAATGAAAAACTTAAGGATGAAGCATCCATTCCATACAAAAATATAAGAGCCATCATTTTTACTTTATACTGTAACTATGAATTATGTTCAAACTGATTTTCCTTTGCTTAAGTTTAGAAACTTCATAGTTTTACATGGCTTACAAAACTGAACAAGCCAAGGCAAAACTAGTGGGGTATATTCATAGGTTTCAATTTTTTGTGTTATTCTGCACATTTGGCTTTCAGTCATCATAAGTAGTAGTTTCCAACTGAAACTTCCCTTGTAGCAATGTTGAAATCGGCCACAATGTGTTTTCAATAGATTATATAATTATGCAATAGATTTCTATACCTTGCAGATTTTAAAAGATACGTACTAACACAATTGGAAGAAATAAAAGTTTCACTACCAGAGATTCAACAGAATCAAACTCGTATAACAAGCAAGACATATCAATTTGTGAGAAAAAGTGGCTTAGATATTATATTTCCAATCACTTTAAACAAAAATAAAACTGATCTTTTGTTCACATTTCACCACATAAAATGTTTTCATCCATATTATGCTACAAGATATGCATGTCTGCCTGCATATTTCAATTTTACTCACTTAAAGAACTGGCTTTGGAATAAGGAAACAAAATGAGTAATTAAATCATATTCCTTAAGAGCAGAAATAGTTGTACAAACCATTTAAAAAAAGTAAAACCTTAAGAGCTTATGAAAGTAAATATATATTTAAAGTACTGTATAATTACTGTGAAATACCTGTGCATAGAAAATTAAATTATTTTCTCTACTGTTAACCCTAATTCTGCTCAACAGGTGATAAGACAGTCATCTGCAATGTCTGAACAAAAATTTGTATTCTATTTAGAAATAAAAAATGTAAGCAAAACTGGGGTTCCACTTTTAATAAGGCAGCTTGCTGAATACTATGCCACATTTTAACTGGAAAGGAATGGAGGGAAAATAGCATTATCTGAACTTAATTAAAGAATATCATCAATAGCAAGTGACTTATTAAAAATATGATACTTTCATTGGTACACAAGTTTTTGTTAATAATAATGACTTTTAAGACCTGATTTTTATTCAAAGTTGTATATGAAATAGTCTTACGAAAAGTAACTATAAATTGTATGGTTTAGTGTCTGTGAGAATGTGAAAAAGTTGTAAGAGTAAACAACAAAAACCCCTAAACCATGCTAACAATTTTTTCTACGTAAACTTTCAGCGATGAGTGGCTCTAATCTAAGTATGATGTTCACCTTGTTTAGTTTGTGGTTTCGTCCTGTAGATTTTCCTTTTTTTTTTATAATTATTGCAATACAAAAAAAGCATTCAAAGTCCAGTTATTAAAAATTGAGAAGAATAGTTGAAAAAACAATTCTGAGTGTGTTGGTAAGGTGTGTCAAAAACATTTTGTGGTAATATTTTAATTTGTAATACTTTTTAAAATATTTGGTTTCATGATTGAGATAAATATCTTAATTCAAGATGTTAAGCTGTGTTAGTTAAGAATTTCAAAATGATCAGTTCCTACAAAGAACTTATTTGATCCAACCAGGAACATGGAGAGACAGCATGGGCCCCGGGCAAACATCCTCACCAGGCCCCCCTTTCTTTCTCTCTATTTTAACATTTTCAAGAATTTATTAAAAAGAAGATCCTAAATTAGGACAGCAACGAGCTTGATGTGTGAACGAGACTGTAGTCCAAACTGTACTGATTACACATGATGTGAAAACGAGATTC